CCCCAAAATAATAATAATAAGATTGAAAAAAAAAAACAACTCACAAAAACCCCCACCCTGCAGTTCGCGTTGGACATTGGCGCGGACGGGGACAAAGCATGAAACCAGATCGCTTACCTCAGATGTCCGTTGTCTAATAAGAATAATTTTTGGGCTGCCAACAGCTATGATGCATATTCTCCAGCGTGGGTGAGAGCGATTTGATTACACTTCCCTCCCACAAAACCCCAGATTATTTGATACTCCACAAAGGCATTGGCAGGGCAAACGGCCGAAAGATCACAGGTTTCGAGATACTTTTTGTGGATCGAGATTGAGAAGGGACGCAGAAAGCGAGTTGGGAAACCACTTTCTTCCCCCCCCCCTCCCCCACCGCCCCCTGCCTCAGAAAAAAGCACATGCGAATAAAATGACGGCAAGAGTACATGGTGAAATTAATAAAAGAAATAATAATAGCTCATCTAGATAGATATGCAAGTGGGGTGAAAATGTGCAGAACTTAAGCATGTAAATAAAGCGTCTAGGGCTGTGTCCACACGAGAGGAGACGCTGTAAAAATGATGTACATTTACTATCATTATGATTATTATGATTATGGCGATTATTGTGATTATGCTGACAACTATTATGATTTTTAAGATGATGATGATGATGATGATGATGATGGTGATGATATGAGGATGATTATTACTATGATGATGATGGAAAAAGAGAAACAGAGAGAGAGAAGAGAGTTGAAATCAAAGACGGCTTCACAATCCACCTGTACGGCGATCACGTTTATCGTGACTAGATCTATATTTTAATGTTACAGCAGACAGACATAGAATCCTTTCACCTGTAACATGGCAGTGTGTATAGGTGGGTATGTACTATGAACAACGACGACGTACTCGCGAACTGCTACCTACACAAACACTGCCTGATGGATGGATGGATGGATGGATGGATGGAAGGATAGATAGATAGGTGGATAGATGGATATATAGATAGGTAAGTGGGTGGATGGATGGATGGATGGATGGATGATGGTTGGATGGATGGAGGGAGGGATAGATAGATAGATAGGTGGATGGATGGATGATGGATGGATGGATGGATGGATGGATGGATGGATGGATGGATGGATGGATGGATGGATGGATGGATGGATGGATGGATGGATGGATGGATGGACGGACGGACGGATGGATAGGAGAATGGATGGATAGGTAGGTTGATAGATAGATAGATAGATAGATAGATAGATAGATAGATAGATAGATAGATAGATAGATAGATAGATAGATAGATAGATAGATATTGGAATAACCCATTTTGTCACAAAGCCTGCCATTTACATCGAACTCAAGATTATGTAACAGACAGACAGATAGACAGACAGACATAATTTTATCGTGCCCAGTGCGAAGTCTGATCATGATATCCCAACACAAAAGTGCGTGTTAAGTGCAAGCTCTAAAAACGACACGACCGTCAGTAGTTAGTCCAGCTCACCACAGAAGGGTTACGAATCAACCAAGAGTAGAATGACTAAGTATCAATTCTCAGTCTGTGCAGAGTCAACTGAAGCAGACGGAGAGTTCGGGTTCAAACCCTCGTCTTTGGACTGATCTACAGGAGTCTTCCTGAAACAAGGGAGAATTCCTACAAATAGCTTTTGTTTCAATATGACATCGACACATTTTGGTCAGTTAAGAGAAAGCTTCAACCACTGAAATATTTACTTGAGCTCAATTATTATCTGCTTGTCAGTTTGTTTGAGTAAAGAGAAGCACATCGACCCAAAAATGGTTTGTTATTTTAGCACTAGGGGAAAAAGTATGAAAAAAACCCAGGAAGGAACAACATAGAGGGAAAAAAGACAGCCTATCAATGGGGCCCTCCAACTACCGGCTAAATAGTGTGATAGTGCGCAAACGTCATGTGTTTTTTTTGTTTTTTTAATTAGTTTAAGTTTTCAGCACTTGCAATATGAACAGATCACATTAAAGCCAAAGATTAGGGGAGTGACTGGAGAAAAACATACAAAGAAAAGAAAGAGGAGGGATAAAGACAATAGCAATTAGATAGGAAAGAAGAAACAAACCACACCACAGCACCTGCCAACCACTCAAAAAAATTGTGAGAAAAAAAAAAAGCAACACCACAGAATCAAAACAACAGTACCAGTAACCCAGCCTTCAAACAATATTTTCAGCCACAAAATTAAAACTTGGTATCTTAACACATCTCCTGCTTTTCCTAGTCCATAGGTAAGCATTTTGTGAGACATAATCATGTAGCCAGTGAATAAATGACAAACTGTTGCCTTATGAGGCCATTCACCCTCATATTTCAGGTCATGTAGGCCTACATGCCCTGTTTGTCCATGCAATTACCATGTTATTTGTTTGTGTCGAGGAAGGGAAGGGAGTGCGTGAAAGAGGAAAATAAGGGACTGATCTATGCATATCCTGAGAGAGAGAGAGAGAGAGAGAGAGAGAGAGAGAGAGAGAGAGAGAGAGAGAGAGAGAGAGACAGAGAGAGAGACAGAGAGAGAGAGAGACAGAGAGAGACAGAGAGAGACAAAGAGAGACAGAGAGAGACAAAGACAGAGAAAGAGAGAGAAAGAGAGACAGACAGACAGAAAGAGAAAGACAGAGACAGACAGACAGAGAAAGAGACAGACAGACAGACAGACAGACAGACAGACAGACAGACAGACAGACAGACAGACAGACAGACAGACAGACAGACAGACAGACAGACAGACATAGAGAGACAGAGAGAGGGGGTGAGGGAAAGGGGGGTGGAGTGGGGATGGGAGAGAGAATGTGATGTGTTGATATGATGCCATGTATATATAAATTTTTAGTAGCAGAAGACGGAGAAAGCACTCTGTTAATTTCTTCCAATGGAGAATCAATAACATATATATCTGAGCCATCTTCCACTTCCTGCAACCGAGAATAACCACTTTGCTGTCTGTTTGCTTCTTTGAGTAAAGAGAAATATTTTGTTGTTAAATGTAGGTGTTTATACAACCCCATCGACACATAAGTTAAGTGAAGCCCACCAACAAGATGACAGTTTAGTTTAGTCTTAGTAAGTGTGTTGCGGCACTTGCAACACAATAAGGTCAAATAAGTGCCGAAGATTACAGGTATTACAAGAGAGTAACAAACACAAAAAAGAAGGAGGGGAGATAAAGACGATAGACGTTTGATAGGAAAGAGGAAGTAAACCACACCAGAGCACCCGCCAACCACCCACACAATGACAGTTATTTAGTGCAAAGAAACAGAAACAGAAAACATAAAAAAACAAGACTGATCGAAACCATCGGGGAGAGTTAAGAAATAAGAACAGACGCAGATTAGAGTAATAGAACCTACCAGTGGCACCCTCCAACCACCCATTGTGAATATTCATATGCAAACGTCTACAGAAGGAGAAGCATTGAAGAGGCGACCCGGTTCAAGCAAATGCCACATGCAATAATCAAACACACAGAGGCACCCACAAAAACGACACAGAAAACCTCACTAGCAAGCATTAAAAAACAAACACAGGTGAACCTTCCACGTATGAAAACTTCGATACTTCCAAGGTCAGTTGATAAACAATAATACTGGAGTATTGCTATAGAGTTCTTCAGTAAAGTAAATCATAACAGATTCTACTGCATTGACAAGTGTGTTAAGTAAGCACATTCGTAACATTTCACTTTACCCAATAATAAAAAAAACAATTTTTAAAAAATTGAATAATAATACTAATGATATCAGTAATTATAATTATATTAATAATAACAATAATAATTATAATACTATATATAAAGTGCTGCAGTTAATAAATGGATTGCATAATATAAGAGCAAGCATTAAGACTATTAGATCGTCTCTCTATTCATGTACTGTTGACTTTGTAAGTAACAAATAATTGTCCTATGGTTATTCATCATTGAAAACAGAGGTGGGGGCAGGGGGACTATGAACCCAAACAAAGCACGGGAGGGACACCTGTAGGTACATTTACAAACACAAACACCAGACTCATCATCATCATCACTGACTTGCTCTCCATGGTTCGAACCGCCCCCTCCTGGGCCACAGACAAGACAAGCCTCCCGCTGGTATCCCACATTCTGCCACTGCAGAAGCCACGCCCACCCCCTGTTGTTAGGGGGGAAATTGAAAAGAGAAAAAGAAATGGAACAAAAAATTATGAAGATCTAGATCTTTATACTACGAGCTTAGAGGCAAAATATATACATTGCTGCTGATGTTGGGTTTTGTTAGTAGCAGGTTACAATGAATTTTTTTGCAACCCCCATCCCCTCTCCCCCCCCCCCCCCCCAACTTAGATCTAAGAGATGTACATTCTTCAACCTCAATCAAAACAACTGTCCCCTCCCCCCCTTATTTAAAACTATTACTTATACGATATATTTTCCAAAAAGCACAGAGACTCACATACACTGACCAGACTTTTAAATTTTCAAAACATAGATGCTTGATTTCATCTACATGGACCACATACAATAGAGTGTTTGAGGAATTGAAGGGGGAAGGGGAGGGGGCGGAGGAGTGGAGATTATTGTAAATGATCTACACATCATCATCAAAATAATCTAGATCATTTGGAGGTGGGTTGCTTCTACTCCAGGGCTGCCAACCCATCTCCATGGTTTTTAGTAATGACCATGTAGAAAATTAGTAATTTTCCATAAAAATTCGTAATAGTGCTCTCATTTTCAAATTACTATATTACAACAAACAATGCTTCTAATCGTGTATGGTATTATTATTGTGGGCAAGGCTAACTCGTGCGAAGTGGGCCAGCTGTTCCTTTTTTTTTTAGGGGTGGGCGGGGTTGATTTAGAGATTGGCAGTGCTCTGACTATTGCCGACGATTTACACTAAGACTTGTAAAATAAAGAAAGAGCAATTTTTTTTTACAGACAAAAATCTGCCAACGGTAAAAATCGTAATAAATCGCCTTACGATCGGAATTCCGCAGAGAGGCTAAAGAATCGTAATGATTACGAGAAAAAAACCCGAATGGTTGGCAGCCCTGCTATTCTGACTGTCTGAGCCAGCCTGGGCCGAGTGGGATACAACATTCCAACATATTTTAGCACATAATTGATAAAATAACTCCCTCATGTCAGAATCAAACTCACTTTTTCTGGATGCTACAGTAAAAAGCCTTATTTATACACCACAATCATCAGCATCGACATCATCTACAGACCATGTTAGCATGAACCAGAAATCCCACCACAGACATAAGAAGCAAGCATCAAGGCGCTAGATAAATACATTTCCCTACACCAACCAGTCATTTTCACTTTTCTCACAAGTAAGTGACAATTCCATTCAGACTAATTCATCTTATATTGAAGCTTCAACAGTCAACACTTTTTAAATCCAGTTTTTTTTGGGGTCACACATCAAGAGCTGACTGTGCATATAGAATCAAATGAAACAGAAATCCCACAGACAGTGATATCATAAGCATAGATGGCTTTGTGGCTGGGTTCCCAGACTTTCGACGTCTTGTCAGGGGCCCAACGTTGTGTCCTTGGAAAAGGTACTTTACATGAATTTCCCTCATTTCACCCAAGTGAGAATGGGTACCCGTAAGACAGCAAAAGATCTTGTCAGATTGATAGAGTTTGAGCTCTTAATAGGCTGCTTACACTGTATGCTTCCCAGGAAGCTGGGAATGATTCCGAGTTGTATTCTATGGTCTGCAGGGGTAATAATAGTTGCAAAGCACATAGAACAGGCTGTAGAGCATACTTCTGCATAAATGCAATTATTTTTATTTCTATTATAAGCCAAAACCCTGCAAACGCCCTTTTGTTGAAATCCATGACATGTACAACAGTGGACATGACATTGTTTGTGTTTCAATATCAAAACTCATTTTAAATTTAAAAATGTTTCAATCAGTCTCTTCCAATGGATGTGGTGTGGGTTTTTTTTTTGGGGGGGATGCAAAGTAAACACTGCATATTTGGAAAGTCACATTAAAAAGAACTTTATTCCTCAATTGTGCATGACAACAATAAAAGGAAAAGGAAAAGAAATACATTCATCAATGCAGTCTTCGTCCTAGAGCACTCTTTTTGGAAAGAGAATGCAACTCCCACTGCATCAGGGTAGGAAAGGCTTTCAACAAGTAGGGACAGTGCAAATTAATTTTTTTTTAAAAAGGAAGTCCATCAGGTCATATTTAGGAAATAGACGATTGTTCGCCTTAAGGGGAGATATTACTGAAATTTCCATCTCTGCTATGCATATTATACTTTTGGAAAAATAATCATAATATCATATTAATTCACTATGACTATTCAGATAACAAGAACTAATAAAAAATATCTAATAAGATGCAATTGGTTGCTATGGTAACCAAGGTCTGTCATCTTTAATTTTCTTATGAATAATAATGCCTTCAGTTTTTTTAGTTTTCCAAAGAAAAGACCCCTTTTTGCATATCAAGTCTTTAAGTGAATGGCTTTCTGAACAACATAGCCTTTTCATTGATAAAAGGATTTGCAAAAAAGGTATTTTGGCTTTGAAAAAACATATCTTTCAGAATGATAAAAAAGCAACATTTCAGTTTTAGGAACAAATTTCTAGTCTAAGTCAAAAGAAATGTAAAATGATGAAAAGTTGGACGCTATTGCTATAAGTCATAGGACTGATAGTGCATGAAAACGATGAACGCTGCAAAGCTAAAGAAGGCTTAGGCATTTGGGTGTTAGTGAAACCAAAACGATAACTTATGACAAAACACTGACAAAAATTGTTTTTATTTCTTGTGAGAAAAACGTGTCACAGCCAGTGTCAGCAGTCAGACTTTACTTTCGTTTCTACTAGCACAAAAGTAATGTCGAAATGTCTAAGACGGCCACCCATTGTCGAGGAGATTAAATGGACGTCTTAGACAGATGGACGTCTTACAGAGTGTCATTATAATGTAAAAAAAAAAATTTTTTTAAACACAGAGGGAAAATGGGAAGTAGCCATAATTTGTGCTGATTGTCTTATAAAGGTGGCCTTTTGAGCAGGTTCAATTGTATGTGAATACCAGGAGGACCAGGAGGTTGCTGAGTGCACACAAAGTTGAACAAATGGGAAGCCTTTGTTGTCAGTAATGAATGTACACAAAACAAGACAGGGAGCAAGAGGAGCACAAGGGCACAGGGAAAACAAGACAATAGGATGGGAAAATGTATAAATGAGACAAAAATAGGACTAGCCAGGGGGCATTCTCCAACTACTTGAGGTGAAATCAAAAGAAAAGAGACAGAGAAGACCCAATGTAACAAGTGAACAATCAATAGGCCTACATCCTTCCCTCCCCTTTTACTAAATATAAAACGAGTGCACCTTTTAGGCAGTAACCTTTCAATTTAGTCACAAAAACTGTCTATTAACCCTTTAGATTCTAGTTCCCTGAACCTGCAGGAACCATTCACACGAGTTCCTTTCGGTTGGCAACTAGATTTACACCACCATACACTGAGGAGTGCGTTCAGTGCATTGAAGGGTGCAAGCAGAGTACTTTTTAGCTTTAGTAGAGGTTTTACGGCGCTCGCAACTGCATAAGGTCATATGAGCGCCAGAAGATTAGAGGTGTTACAAGAGAGTAACAAACACAAAAAAGAAGGAGGGGAGATAAAGACAATAGATGTTTGATAGGAAAGAAGAAGCAGACCACACCAGAGCACCCGTCAACCACCCACCCAGAGTACTTTGAAGATAAGTTCTGTGCAAAAAAATGGTATGTAGCATACACTGAAATGTGCACTTGGGTCTGTTGGAATAAGTGTACTCTCAATTTTCTTAATACAGATTGATCTTTTCTCAAAACACTTGTAAAGATTGTAATTGATAACTGGACCGGTTTAACACCCCTTTAAAAACTGTAAGGCTATTTAAATGACAGGACCTCTGATTTAAAAATCCATCTTTAACAAGACCATACCAAGTGGGTACAGAGTTCTGAAAAACTTCCAAATTTAAAAAAAAACAACCAAACATGTACAAGAATGCCCCACTGAAGACATGGAACCATGGCCATCTTCACTACAGCCTTCTGTGATACCAACAGAGTAAAAGGCGAACCCAAAAAACCCAATTGTTAACACAATAATAACACAAGGATAAACTAGAGCATAGCAAAAATGCCAAAGTGGAGAATAGCAATTATGCCAAGACTGTAAACGTCACGTACCACATTGTGGACTCTCCATCTCATACAGAAGCCACTCGTCAGCCTGTACGGGGTGATGGAACCACATGGCGTGGTCCACAGAGGTCATGAAGAATCTCCCACCGCCGGTACGCCGGCCGGCTGGAAGCAGTGCTGTACCAATCAGCATCGTGTCTGACATGAAGGCTGCTGCGCATTTGTGCATGGGCTGATGGTTACCTGAAATATCACAACGGAGCTTTTTTATTTATGGATGTTAAACACTTTGCCCCCCCAGGACAACGATCTGCCATGGTAAGAAGATGTCCCTTTCCCCTACAGGGCGCCAGTCGGCGATGGTGCGATATATAACGACAAAAATGTTGTAGCAATGATTTCCTATTTAACATATGCACTTGTCAAAGTTAAATTTCCTTTCTGAAAGGTTTGTGTGGTCTGTGAGGTCAAAAATCAGTTTGTATACAACAAATAGAGTAAAATTTCTTTGAAAAATGTCAAGTAGACAGACCTAGCATGAGTGCTGCTTTACTCTTACACCATGATGACAATTCGGGTGATGAATGAACTAGACCAAAAGTTTCGATTTTAATTCCTTTTTTGGTGAACATGCAATCATCAATCTCAATTTATCTCAGTATGCTGAAAATTTCATAATGGTTGGGTACTTTGGCCGAGATACAGGTATAATACTATGTAGCCCATCTGCATCCTGGTCCGTGGGTATAAGAGTTGCATGCACTGCGTTGGAGAAAAGTGTTAACGATTTGAGCTTAAGTGAAGAAAAGCATATTTGCTCAATAACGGTCATTAAGGGTAGGTTCAAAGCAAGTCTGATGGACAGGAACAGCACAGGGAAAGTAAAGAGGAAAAAATGCACACCACCACCTGGTGTTTTACGTAAACCACAAAGGGCTTGAATATCTCACTTTAATCTGAAAGATTGAAGGAATAAGAGGTACAGGCAGGCAAAGAGGAACAGATTTTTAAAGTCTTGTTCAGTTAGTAAGTGTTTTATGGCGCTTGCAACACAATAAGGTCATATAAGTGCCAAAGATTAGAGGTATTACATGAGAGTAACAAACATAAAAAAGGGAAGGGAGAAAAGGACGATAGATGTTTTGATAGGAGAGAAGAAGTAAACCACACCACAGCACCTGTAAAAAAATTTGAAGTTTTCGGGGCAAACGGAAAAGGTAAAGATACTACAATATTTCTGAGGATGACTGAATATGAAACCGAGTCAAGAGCCCTGAATGCCTGTTCTAGACCCAGCACTTGAGAGAGAAATCGAAACAAATCTTACCATATGCCATTGGCTTAGCATCAGCATTATTTACTGCCAAGACCAAATCCTACAAGGGAAATAAACACTGAACATATAACAGAACAGTATATTTATTGATAGTTTCCCTTAGAATAAAGCAAAGACTTGCAAAAGGGTGAGGTACAGAGTTAACCTGTTCAAGACAGCCATCCATTGTTGAGGAGAAAAGTGGTTGTCTTAACCAGTGTCATTATAAAATAGAAAAAAAACCACAACAGGGAAGTGAGAAGTGATAGTCTGTGCAAGTGGACAGAGAGTTGATGGAGCAGGTTCAGTTGTTGTTTCTCTGACTTATACTTTCAGTTTTCCCCGTACACCTTTTTCTTTTAATACCAGATTTGTGACAGACATCAGTGGTCACTATTCGCTACCCACTTTTCCACTCCCATTCTCTATAAATGTAGCACTATGGTAACCTGGTTTTTTCCCCTATCCCATCACTCATCTCTCCAAGTTCTCTAAGAAAAAATGTTCTTGGTCCACCACTTTGCCCTTGATTTCTTTTCCCTGACAGTAAACCAAGAAAATCAAAACGCCATTGTTTTTGGTAAACAAGCAAGTATTGCAAGTCTTACCTAAATGTCCTAATGTTTTGATCCACACACATTGCTTGGCTGGAAGAGGTGAGGAGTTGAAGTAAACATTGGCATCAGTCGGTTTCCGTAACAAAGTGACTTCCTCGGTGAGACGATGTTCTATGTAGTCTCTCTCCTTCTCACCTACGTCTTCCAATCTGTGAAACAAGTAAGAAAGCTCAACTGAATTAAAGTTCATATACCAGTGCCAAACAGAAATGTCCCTTTGTGGTGAGGTATCTCATGATAACAATGTTTTTAATTAATTTGTACGTGTGTATCATCATCATCATTGCCTTTCTCACCCTGCACCAGGGTATAGGCCACGGACAAACACCCTCCACTTTTCTCTATCCTGGGCTAGCCTCTTGATGTTATTCCATGTCTTCCCACTTTTCTGTACATCGATTTCTGTGATTCTTCTCCAGGTTCCACGAGGTCTTCCCCTTGACCTCTTGCCCTGTGGGTTCTAATCCAAAACTTTCTTTGTTATGCAGCTGCCTGACTTCCTGAGAGTATGTCCAATCCATCGCCACCGCCTTCTTCCTACCTCATCTCTGACTGGGATCTGTCTTGTTTTCCTTAACACTTCCACATTGGTGACCCTGTCTGTCCATCTGATCCTCAGTAACTTTCTTAGACACCTGTTCAAGAAAACCTGGATCCTCTTTATACAAGTCTATGATGCGTTCCATGCCTCACATCCATACAACAGGACCGACTCCACGTTTGAATTGAAAATCCTCAGCTTTGTTCGAAGTGACATATCTCTGGTCTTCCAAATCCTATCCAAAGATATGAAAGCAGCCTGTGCTTTTCCAATGCGGGACTTTATTTCAGCACCTGTTCCTCCCTCTCTGTCAATTATGCTCCCAAGATAGCAGAAGGATTCAACGTTTTCTAGGGCCTTTCCTTCTATTGTGACCTGCTCCTTTCGTTGTGCACCTGTCCTTAGGACCTTTGACTTTCCGGGGTGGATCCTCAATCCAACAGACTCCGATAGGCTGTTTAATACTGAAGTCTTTGCTTGCATCTGTTCCTGGGTGTGCGACAGAAGCACCAAGTCGTCTGCAAAATCCAGATCGTCCAACTGTGTCCATGGTGTCCACTGTATACTGTATACGTGTGTATGACTGAATCTTATTTGTTTTTGTACGAGTTTTACGGCACTTGCAACAAAATAAGGTCATATAAATGACCAAGATTAGAGGTGTTACAAGAGAGTAACAAACACAAAAAAGGACGGGAGACCAAGACGATAAATGTTTGATAGAAAAGAAGGAGCAAACCACACCAGAGTACCCACCAACCACCCACACTGAGTCTTACATGGAACAGTCAATTTATGTACATACAGTTGAACAGCAGAAAGTCTCTGTTCAAGCCTCGGTTCGGACACGTGTTTTTTTCGCTCCCTCCTGCCCACCCAGCAGTAATGGGTACCTGACTTCGAGGTTGGGAAGAGAAGGCGGCGTGGAGAGGGACTGGCCACCCTACCACAATATGTCGAAGGCCCAGGGAGTTGTCTCACTAACAAGGCAATCCCCAATGTCCGGATCGGATGCAGTAACAACTTTATTTTACTTTTACAGTTGAACCTATTCTAACAACCACCTATTCAAGACAAAAACCTGTGCAAATGACCACTTCTCACTTCTCCCTTGTGTTTTCTCAGCATTGTAATGATACTGTCCAAGAAAACCACCTGTCTAAAATGACTACTTTTCTCAGCAACAATGGGTAGTCGTCTTGGACTGTATTGAGTTAGCTAAACAGTGTATATATGGTATAACAATTGAGCTCTTCATCACGGATGGAAAGTGTTGACACAAAAATACCCCAGTCATACTCTTACATTACCATAACCTTCTCTGAATAAAATCAACAAAAGAAATGACACAAAGAAAGCACAAGAGGGAAGACCCGGTTAAGTGAATAATATAATGCTGTCCTCATCATCCTCGCACAAACAATGGGTAGCTCCATTCTTGCTTTTGTACCATACACAGTCAAACGCAGAGCTAAGTACAGTCAAAATTGTCTACGACAGCCACCCATTGTAGAGGAGGAAAACAGTTGTCTTAGATTGTTGGATATTTTTCACAGCATCATTTTGATGCAAAAAATACGCAAGGCTGTTTATACAGATGATTTTCTTATACATGTAGCCACTAGAGCAGGTCAACTGTATTTTTCTCCTTACAGCAACCGCATACCATAATCATTTAGAACTTACTCTAGCCTTTGCTTGAGAATGTCGTTGATCTCTAAACAGTCTTCAGGTGGTGGGACGACAGGCATGGTGAACTGATGCTCAAACGGGTCGGACTCGGCTTTCTTGAAGGACACCATCATGGTGAAGATTGATCGGCCGTCTTGGGTGGCATCCACAAAACGGTTTGAGTACGTCTGACCATCTCGGCTTTGCTTGACATAATACAATATGGGTTTATCTACAGAACCTGTGGGAAATATGCAAAAGGTTACACAGACGGGGATACTCCATCTCATGATGTATATAAAATAGTTGAATCAGTCTTTGTTCTTCGTGTATCTATAAAATAAAATAGCCAGTGCTACTTAGAGACAAGTCTTTTGGAACTTGGAGGCACTTTAAAGGACTGCTGTACTTGTGAGGACATCTGATGATGCAAGAACAAAGAGAAAAAGAGGAGGAGGAGGAGGAGGAGGAGGAGGAGGAGGAGGAGGAGGAGGAGGAGATTTTATGACACTTGGAATGGCACCAAAGAAAGCCACAGAAATCCATGTCAATCTATCAGTCTAGCACCCCTTAAATGTCAATGTATGTGTTCTGGTTGACTTCTCAAAGATATCTTCGAAACAGAAGCCCACTTTACTTGAATAGAGGAGTAGGATATATAACTTGCTTTATTTTAACTTTTATCGGCCGTTTAAACCCAGGATATTAACAATGATCTAAAACAAAAGCAACCACATTTTTCCAGGAATGTAAAAGGGAATACAATAATAACCTTTAAAGAAATAGACAGATCAGATAACACAGCCCATTAACCCTTAAAGCCCCTCCCCCCCCCAAAAAAAAAAAACCTCCTTTAGCGTACCACAACCCTGAGCTCCTCTGCTTAAAATGATAGGAAAACACCACCACACACTCAGGTGCACTTTCAGCATACAGAAGGGTAAAGGTAGTCACACTGAGGCATGTGCCCAAGATCAGTGGGTTACTGGTTGACAAAGAAAGTAGCAGTGCAGACTGTGTGCCTCCCGGTCCGAGGCATGTGCCCAGGATCATCGGGTTAATTATTTACAAAAGGGCTAAACTCTTTAAGCCCCAGCGACGCTGCGAGCATCCGGCGGCAATAACCCAACAGCGCCTGATACTAGTGACAACTATGGCGTTTCATTAATTGCTAATTTCTTCTTGTTTTTCAGAACTATTCCCGATCCAAGTTTTTTAGTAATGTTTTCGCTATGTAGAAGTTGGAGGCAAGCCTTTGGGGTTATAATGATACATAGTGCACCAGGTTTAGGTGACTGTAGAAAAAAACTCTGGGAAACAGTGGACAAAACTCAGGGTTTAAAGAGATAAACAATTCAAACCTGGTCGGAGAAAGTAGCAGTGCAGACTGTGTGCCTCCCGGTCTGAGGACATCGTCTTTGAGGCAGCCACTAGTGCCTGGCCCACAACCTGACCGCCAAACACGGCGCGGCCAAATGTCGGCTTGAACAAGTGCGTGCTCCTGGAATAAGAACAAGAAAGCCTGACTGCAGTACTGACCGTTGAGTTTCATGGCCCCCATCAAAATAATTAAAAACCATCCTGGGTATCAAACATCTATTAATGGGGGGTTGGAGGTTACTCTGGTGTGCTTTGCTCCTTCTTTCCTATCAAACATCTATCGTCCTTATCTCTCCTCTTTTTTTGTGTCTGTTACTCTCTTGTAACACCTCTAACCCTAATCTTCAGTACTTACATGACCTAATGGTGTTGCAAGTGCCGTACCTAAAAACATCCATCGTCCTTATCTCCCCCCTTTCTTTTCCGTGTTTGTTACTCTCTTGTAAAATAGCCTTAAATAAGACCTAATTGTGTCGCTGGCAAAAGTCTTTCTAAAACTAAAATCCAAAACTATCCAGAAGACTGCTTCAACCACGTCAGTCAGAGCCAACCCATACAGAGGGGAATACAGACCTGTCCCCGTCGTTTTATGCAAGAAAAATTCTGAAATTATGCAAACTGAACCCAAAAATGTGAAATTATGCGATTCTGTCAATTTTAACAAAGAATGATAAAGGAAAATAATCAGAAATTATGCAGAAAATTATCAAATTTTGCTAAATTAAGCGGGGTGCAAAAAAACATGGGGACAGACAGACATGGAGATACTCAATAAGTCGATAAAAATGACTTCTCCCCTCAAATGTTCAGCTCATGTTTTCTTAAAGTAACAGCGCAGAACCTTACTATAATACAACAAAGATACCGGTAGAAAAAAGACTGAAAATAATCTTATCAGGTTGTTTACTGACATCACTCTGTTCCCTGATAAACTTAGAAAAATATTCTTGGAACAATGAATAAAAATGTGTACCCCACTCAGATTTGAACATTGAGTTTCAGCATAAGTAGTAAATCTATAACAGCACAACAGATACCAAACAAATAATGAGACGAAAACCATTCCAATAAACTATTTAAACCCAGGGTTAAGACATACCAGTTTCTTAAAGAATGTATGGGGCGCTCCACCAGCTCAGTTGGTATCACGCTGGACTACAGAGCGGATGGCTTTGGTTCGAATCTCAGACTGGGCATTCTTGAACACCGAGGTGGTTTTATGAAGTTTTCAAGGCTCTCAACCTATTTGACCCAGTCCTATCGGAGACATTAGATTTGGAAGTCCCGCCTCCTAAAAAATCCTAATAGAATTAATAGGGGCGTTAAAAAGGGATGGAAACTGATCAGTCCAAAATTTACTGAACTTTTCGCGAGCTATACAGATTTGGAAAAATACAATTGTTCAATTGTAGATTAGTACACGTCAGATCCCACTTATGGAAAATAACGGAATTCCATAAATTTATGCAAAATTTTCATCCCTGGTCAAACCTATACACTTACACTTAAAGAATGTATGCCCATGCATACCCAATGAACCTAGTGGTACAAAGATAATGTCCTGTCAAGATCTCTGACAATTCTGTCTTTACATTTAGTCCCAACTTTTCCCTTTTCTTAATCTTACACTTTTACAGAGGAGTCAAGGACTGCTCTTGTTTTATTTTTTGTTTAAATAAGCGTTTTATGGCACTTGCAACACAATTACGTCATAAAAGTGTTGAAGATTAAGGTGTCACAACAGAGTAACAAATACATAAAAGAAAGAAGAGAGATAAGGACGATAGATCTTTGACAGGAAAGGAGGTGCAAAGCAAAGCACACAAAAGCACCTGCCAAGCACCCACAGGACTACTCTGACATGAAAATTAAAACGTCAATTTTAATAGCAAGACGAAGAAAAATCCCTTGAAAAGAAAGAACAAAAAAGTTACCCACACAGAATAGTCCCTTAAAAAGAAAGAACAAAAGAGCCCATGGTTCAAAATTCACGTCAAGGATACAATCTCGTCCACTTAGCACAGTTCAGTACCCCAACAATCAACACTATTTGTACATTATTGGCATAATGGTTTCATGTTTGGGAATACATCAATCAGGGCAAAGAGAAGCACGTCGACACGATAACGGTCATTGTCCAAGGAAAAATGTAAAATAGACAACCAGAAATAACCCATGGAAAAATCAGAAGCAGATATTTTTCGACTACGCATGAAGACATTTTAACTATAACAAAAGCTCCCCAAAAACTGAAATAACTAAGAAAATACTAAGACAGCACAGGCATTGCATCCTAGGAGCTGAGTTTATTCGCCAGGAGTGTCATTTACTGCAAAAGTTTTAGTCCAGACAAACTTTCTATTATTTAGGCAGGTGCAGTTTTTAGACTGACTGCACATGACAAAGCTACACAAATTCAAAATGGAGAAACGTCTCACCTGTACAGCAGAGGATCAATCGGCTCAAGGTTCAAAAAGGTTTGAGTTAAGCGACTCTCAAACTGCTTGTCAAATTCTTTATCACTATCCGACATTTTGCTCTGTCCCTCTCTCTTTCTTTCTCTCTGTGTGAATCAGCTCCTGATACAACCAACCAAGCACAGCAGTAGGGTTCTAGCACTTCTGATGTAATATATTATAGAATATATATTATTGTAAGCTTGTGTTGATAAAAATCAAAGTGGTATGATGATGTCTGGGTTCTTGAACCTCTGTGAAAAAAAAGAAAGAAAAAGACAAGACGTTTTTACAAAACATGTCATAATGTAATCCTGTTTCCTTTTCCTTGTTCATTACATTATCAGATTTAGCTACACTTGTTGACTTTGTTTTTGATTTTACCATAAATTGCGTTCCAAATAAATAATATTCCATTTCCAACATTTGTCAATAACTGGCATGTTATTATAATCCTGATAAGAGATTATGCTTTAACAGTGTGCTAAGTGGTATAAATAAAAGATCAATGCTTTTGAATTCCATTTTATGCATTAAGCTGTTCACAACAACAGAATTACAATGAAGAACCGTGTGGGAAAAAATTATATGGGCAGAATTGCTTTATCATATAGTTTTAAAAATTCGCGCATAATACAATTCAAATTTAGGCAGAACTATGTAAAAGACAGCATGGTGTGCATGTCCATATGGGGGAGGGGGGGTGGGGGGAGAGAGGAGAAGAATTACAGACCCCTCCTTACTTGCCTCTCACATCATATCATAAAATAAAGCTATTACAGATATTTCACACCCCTATCAACACAATTACGATAATTTAGGAGGCAGACAGCTGTGACTCTGCCTGTTGGGGCCAACTCGGGCTGAGAGGGATGAATCTCAGCAAAAAGACAAGGATACTTGATAAAAATTCTCCTCAATCAGGAATCGAACCCGCATCTTGTGTGTGCCATGGCCAAGCACCTAAGTGCTAGATCACAGATGCTGCTAAACCATACAGACACACTGACCCACAAAAAAGACACAAACGTTCTCAAGGGGTCCATACCTATCTGATTATACAGTAATTTCTATCTGGGGAGGGGGGGGGGATGGGGGGATAAACTTGTATATATGTAAACTGGCCACCTTCAATTCTCGCTTCTGTACTCGTTTTTTCTGGCTGGCAAGAATAATAATATACAGGTGTTTGACTCCCTGTAGCTTACTTCCTATTGTTCGCATGAAGGGGCCATTTGATGTTCAAGTCTTATTCATTGCAATTCCCCCTTAGTCATGAGGCTCTATTGAATCTCTTTTGTATTTAAGGTATAAAATGCACATAAAGGTAATTGAACCAAGAATCATTTCCTCATTCATATGACTTGAGGTGTTTCAAAATAGGATTGTTAATTCAGCAAAACTGGGGCTAGTACTCTACATTGCAAGTATCTGGCCCCTTCAGCCCACGGCTCTTTTTTTAGGCATATATAAAGGCTGGCCCTTTCCTGAAACAGGTAAGACTCATTTCTTTTGTGCACAACATATTGGTGCAATCTTGCCCACTTCACCTTCAAGCTTCTATTACAGCCTAGTCAGCCAGTACATTAATTGCCTTAATTGCATGCTGGTAAGTAAGAAACTTTTCGGTGCAATCTCTTTATCATTACTTCATGCTTAGTTATATTAGATGTGGAACATAATAAGTGCCTTTCGGTGAATAAATGTTCCTCTTCGAGCAAATAAACTGTAGTTTATAATATTCATAGCTACATAGCATGAGGGGCATTCAATGAGTCTTTTTCTTTACAACAAATGAATCGTGGTACAAAATTAAACTTACAGAATGTAATTTCTATCTTTCGGGAATGCTGCATACAGAGTTTTTGAACTTGAGAGCACTTACAGTGAACACAGTTTTTTAATATAAAAGGATAACGCCATTTTCAATGGACTCAAAGTCAACAAAAGAATCTTTAGAACCTTATACTGTGATCAAATGTTCGTATTTGAAAGAAAAATCACCAGGACAATTTTTTAGATGTTAACCCTTTGACTGCTAACTGCACATATTTTATGTCTCATGACACAGTGAAATCAGGTGCTCATCACTTTTTGAGCATGTGGAGTTATTGGTATTATCCTAATGCTTGCTCATTTGTCTTTCATTCAATACAAAAAATTCACCTATCTTTAATAGAAGTCAAGATTTACGGCTGAAGGAGATGGGGGGTCACCAGTTTTCAGAGGTGAAAATAGTGAGAAAATGGTTGCCAAAGTTAAGTGACTTCCAAAGCTTGAGTCCATAGACCCTGCAAAATTACATATTTGTGCCTTTTTTTCTGTTTTTCAGGAACATACACACATAAATATGTTTTTAAATAGACAAAATGGGATGTGCCAAGAAAAAAAAGTTCCATAAAAATAGCCAAAAGAGCTAAAACAAAAATGCAGATTTTTTCTATTTCATTATTTTGACCAGAGCTTAATTTCACCACCCTGCCTCACATATATGCACCTCACATGCTATGGAAAATTCCACCATGCGCATGGCATGACAGGTTACAATCTATAATCGACAATTGTCCGCTAATTATACAAGAGAGAACAGTCAAACTATATAAATACAAAGAGAAATAAAGAGATGAATTCATCCACTAACAAGACCTGCAAAGAACAAGCCATAAAACCGGGGTTTTAGCTGCGGCACAAGATATGTTTACAATTTACATGGGACAGGACGGCGGATTATTGAGACGGATGAGATATGTTTACCACCCAGTCAAGGGGTTAAGTGTTTACATTGCTGGATACCCTTCTTATGAAACTATTAATATATGCGACAAACTCTTTCAGGGCCTGTTTGCATTAGTTAGAGGAGTACATAAGAACATTGACCATTATTATACACTGGGGGGGAAAAGCAAACAAGAGAGGCAAACAGAAAAAAAACATAATAGGGGTAGTAAAGACGTAGGACCTACCAGTAGCGCCCTCCAACTACCATCTATTTTGTTGTGCAGTCTTTACCTACTTACTTACTTATTCTCTCACTATACCGTCAGGTACATAAGGCGAAGAGCAGTTGACTTCACACTTGCCTGTCCCTGGTTATAAGGTCATTTAATTAGCATATCTGGATTTCCTTATTACCAATTTAACTGTAACTTCAATTGCTATCTGGTCATGAGGTTTCTATTAAACTACTGAGTGAGCACATACATTGGATGGTGATTTCTTAAACTCAGATTTTAAGTAAAACTGAGTCACCATGCCTGTTTCTGACAAATCGTATCTCTATCAGTTTTTAGCTAATTCCTGACCATGAGCAATGAGCGATATTGAACTCTTTTCAAGTTTAGACAAGTCATAAAATCTGTAGCTCAAAGACAGGGAGTTTCACACTAGCAACTGGCAATGGCATGTTTGTTAAATTGCATTTGGTGAGAGACAAAAATGAATTATTGGTGCATGTGTTGAACATGTAATGTACTTGTGCATAAAATGTTCTCATGGATGGATTCCTACAAGAACGTTATTTCTTTATTTTCGTGCTATCAACAGGATGTCATTTTGTACTTCCATGTCGGATTTTGTGTTCTGTTGCTCGGTATGATAACAGTATTCCATAATGTGTTCCCACAGCCCTTTGTGCAAATGTTGTAATCAAATTTCTGTGATTTCTTCCTAAGACCTGACATTTGCTCAGTGATATTTCTATTTCAGTTATTCTTTTTTGCTAAAAATGTTTTAAGTTTCATGCATATCCATGTTATATCACCGCATTGCTAGCCTACACTACACGCTAGTCTTTATTCATTATATTATCATCATGCCTGCAGCCTAATTTTCCTCAGCAACCCACATGACATTATAATCTTTCTGTGATAGAAGGATGGTTTGGTTTTCACCATGCATCGGTTTCCTTCATTTTGGATTACTCAGGCTGTTGCGTATTTTTATAAATTAACAGAAACAATGCTCGTACATTTTGCGGTGCTTGCATGTCAAAAGGTGAGCCAATTGTGTCAGCTTTTATGAAAGTAACACAATTTAAATTTTATGTATATTTACATGATGTGTTTTTACCGTTCCTGTAAAGCCACAAAAAATTTTTAGCAGGGAAAATAAAGTTTGATCTTATAGTTAGTATCTCATCAGGGGCTTGCTTCACAACAGTATCTTGTTTGTTTTACTAGGTAAGGAAAAAAAGATAAATGATCCTTATTCCTCTCCTTCACTGATTTGATGACTTTAAGAGGGGGGGAGGGGTGGCAGCTGAAGGCTATCTCGCTTATTAGTGGATCAAATGTTACCAAATTTCACACACATAACAACCATAGTAAAGAGTCTTAAAATCCGCAATCAAATTTTAAAGAAAGAAATTTTGTGTTCATGGATATGGTGGCCATATATTGGACTTTGTTGACATATCTTAAGTAATTAATACCGCACTAATTTTTCAAGGAAATAGATTTGGGGTATTTTTGCATGCATCTAGGCAAACAATAGACCTACAAACCTGTGTGATGAATTTTTCCTTAACATACTAGCAAATTTTTTATGAACTTTTTTCCCTGAGGTAGTATTCACGTTTGCAAAAATCAGTAAAAATCCACACTCCAAACACCACCAACAAAAAACTATTCAACATATCAAAAATTCACAAGGCAAATTTTTAGTTTCACATCTTTTCTTCATTCTGTGAAAATTTCATGAAGATTGAAGGAAATATGGTGGAGTTATTTTTAAAAGTATATAGAAAAACCACGTTTCCAGAAAACGGGCGATAAAGAAAAGTAAAAGATTTACTTTATGAGGAAGGTGACAAACATGCCCGGTAAGGAAGAAATAAGGCTTTAGGGGGTTCTTTTATGCGATGAAAAAGTTGTAAGAGAGGCTGAAGAAGCTAAAAATGCCTACAACTTAAAATTCATAGTTTTTAGCCGAACCGGTACTTTCGGAGAGCCCTCCGCAACTAATTATCTTCTACTTATTTTTTTAATGTTCCTGACATGTTCCCCTTCATCGTAAATTTTACTTCACATGATGTAGGCCCTCAAGGTACTTCCGTCATGACAGGAACAATTTGTATTGGAAATACCTGTTTGCTTAAAAGAACATAAATTAAATTCCAAAATTTGCCAATCAACTGAGATGAGTTGACTTTTAAGTTAAGGTATCTTTTCTGGTCATGAAACAGGTCTACTTAGTATCAGAATAAAATGGACTCCTAAAGACAACATGCCTCTATAATAACACATCTAAAAATTCA